GGGGGGGGGCGAGCGGGCAAAATAAGCACTCAGCTATGATAACAACAGCGTCAGCATCTCCTTGCTAGTCTTTAAAAAAGCCAAATTAAAGCAGCAGCATTTGGACACCCTCCAGCATTTCACAGATAAACAGGGGTTGCTCCAAAGAGTACTGCCTGAGCATCCCCTCAGCCTGGTCTGAAGCACACACTGCTCAAGGCAGAGCCTGTAATAAGTGTGCATCCAAGATCTCACAATGGCAAACATAGTCAGAAACATTTGACAACGGGGAGGCAGTAACAGGTGCAGATGGTAATGAAGCACTGCACAGGTATGTTTGTGCCAGTGTGCATGCATTTGCATGAGTGTGCATTACAGTCAAAATGCATGCTTGCCCCCTCCCTCTCTCTCACTCCCTCCTTCCCTCTCTCACTCACACACATACATCCTGACACAGTAATCTAAAGACTTGTAGTGAGAGGGATTAAATTGGAGGAAATCTACTTGTTTGTGTATGTGTGCAGATGCACCCTCAGTATCTCTTTACAAACGTTAGGGCAGAATTTCATGAAGAGAAAGTAAAATATTTAGCATCTTTTGAAAACAGGGTCACCCCATGCATACAAACGTCAGGAGCCATTTAGTACCAGAGATGTGATCGTAATTTGCTTTCTGTGTTCATGAGCTAATTTTCTTATGCTGATACTAAATTTGCAAAGAATGATAGCAGGGAGAAAATGATCACAAGCCACTCTGCCATCAGGAGAGGCTGATTCACATCTTACACAATTAACTGGGAAAGTGCCTTGCAGCTTGTCTATCCACTGTTCAAAGCCAGCTGTTTTGACACTAAAACCCTTCTTCAGCCATGTTATCCATCCTTTTCAATTGTTACGATCAAGTCGTCCCCAACTTATGGTGATGCTTTGAATGAAAGCCCTCCAAAATGAAAGCCCTCCTTTCCATTATGTACTTCAAAAAGGGAGAAGCAGGCAAAAGTAGCACAGAAAACAAATCGTATCAGAGCGATGGTATCTCAGCCTCAGAACTGTCAGTCCTGAATAGTAGCATTGTAGTGTGTTGGACACTGCTTTTGCCACCCCCACATCAGCCTGCTACCAGAGCGTCTTTAAACAGGTAATGCCACGGGGGGGGGGGGGGGGAGGCTTGAAACTAAAGCCTTCTGCATGCACAGCTTACATTCTATCACCTTGCTCCTGCATCTTCCAAATACCTTTGTCATCTAAAAAAAGGGGAACCACAGAAGTGGAAATAATCTCTAGAATATCAATACAGCCATCGAGAAATAATTAGGTTTGTTGGATGCATTTAAGAGAAAAGCTCCGAACTACTAATTCATACATGCCTAGGCCACATGCCTGCTTGACCTGCTTTTTCCACTTACATTCAGACCTGCAGTTAGGCATCTAAAGTTAATACGCCATGAACAAGAATTGTCGGCTTACCTTCTATGTCATCTGGAATCGTGGCATAAGTGTTAGAAAGGTTAAGCTTCTGAATGTCAGGGTGTTCTCTATTTACAGTCAGGCTGGGTGAGATCACTAGATCTAGCATTTCCTTATACCTGGAGGAAAACAAAGCGGGGGGGGGGGGGGACCCAGATAATTTATTCATTAATTATGCACACTTGCTAATGATTCCACCTTTTTCCCTAGGAGTACAAATATTAAAGTTGATTATCTAAACCCAGGCTTCATATAAATTCTACATAAACAACATTCACAAAAAAGTTTTCATCAAAGGGAAAATGCTGAATTAAAAACCAAGCATTTGCTTTCCTTGGAGATTACAACCATATGATTGAATGTTTTCCTGCTCATCCTAGATTTTACCATCAGAAGATTACATTTATGTATTTCTTAAAAGAATGAGCAATGCAATTCACTATTACCATCACCTTCCAATGCTCACAGTAACATCGGAGAAGGCTCTGAGTTATAGTAACGTCTGAAACAAGATTGTGGGAGATTTCAAGGAAGAAATACACTTTTAGCTAGGCTAGGTCCAATTAATCTAATAGAAGCAATCCTGCTTGTAGTTTGCTCAAAAATAATTGAAGTCAATGGGATTTCAGTGCCCCAAACTTTTTATAGGACTGTTGTCAAATGTATTAGATCCTTCTTCACTGAAAAACTTCAGATTGCTTTCATCAGGCACTTTGATAAGCAAATCCCACAGAAGAGACTTCCAAAATTGCTTGATATGCATTGTCATTTCATCTTTGCCAAGCATAATTCCAAACATAGCAGCTCCTAATCAACGATTAGATTTACTTGATGGTGCAATTTGAGGATCATGTAAGAACAATGCAGCGTGGTATCAGTCAGCTTCCCTGTGCAGGTTTGCTGAAGTCTCATGGTCCTAGCCATTGCTCCCTCCATAAATGCTTCCTCTCTCTCTAAATTAGTAAATGGGGTCCAGATGTTGCCCAGTACACTTGATAGTTATATTTGGATTGGGGACCACCAGTTGTGATCTCTGCAGTAGCATCAAGCACTTTATGAAACTGGGAGCACTGAGATATTCTTGAAATATTTGCTTAAATCTACAGACTCTACACTGGTTCATGCATATTAGCTATCCGGTTTAGTATTTTTATTGCAAAACAACTGTAAAATATCAGAGCCTCTAAATCGAACATATTAATATAGCCAGAGCTAATATATATGTATTAGCTCTTAAGAGAAAATGAGACAGAAAAGGGGGCCTTGAATGAAATCCATAAGCTTCATACAACCTCAAACCTCCCTCCCCCACTTTAGACAAGGCCCCCTCTAATCTTGCTTATCTAAAAACAGTCACTAACAGGGTTATCACAAAAGACCAGGAAGAGAAGGGCCTTCTGTGGTCTCCCTGTAACTGGAAATTTTATTTGTATAATTTCTGCAATGCACTGGAATTCTCATTTTAAAAGTATCAATAAATGACTTATAATCATGGGATTGCACCAAACTACTGTTAATCATTGCTTGACACTTGCAAAATGTCAGGTTATACTGACGCTTCAAGTTTGTTTGGTTTCTAAAGCTCCGATAAAGGCAATCAATGCAAGGTTCAGTGGGAACCTGGCCACTACATCAACACGGTGCAGGTGGTTTACTATGAAATAAAAGATTTACTGATGCCAGCAAATACAAACAGCAAACATGCTTTCTACAAGGTTACTGCAAGAAAATCTCAGCTAATATTTGAACAAGGAATATGGAAACTTCTGCAAATAAATTGCAAGGTTGTCTGTCTTATCTACTAGGAACAGGCTGGTGAAATTTCAGTGGTGATGTTCTTTTGAGTTATGGTAATAACTTGAGGACAGATAAAAGGAAGCATTCTTCACATAGCACATAGTTAATCTATGGAATTTACTGCCTTAGGAAATAGTGATGATGACCAATTTGGATTGCTTTAAAAATGGATTGATACATTAATGGAGGTGAAGATTATCAACAGCTTAGTCTTGATGGCTATGGACTACCTCTAGTGTCAGAGGCATGATGCCCGTGTACACAAGTTACTGGAGAGCTTGGGCAGGAGGTGTTGTACTCATATCCTGCTTGAGTGATCTTGGAAGCAGCAATTTGCCTCTATGTGAAGACAACACTGAATTAGATGGACCGTTGGTCTCATCCAGCATGGTTTTGCCTATGTTCTTAAGTCATGCATTTGGTGATGGGATGCAGTGAGGAAGGCAAATAGTTTCAGCCCTTTCTCTGCATCACATGTCCTGGCTCGGGTCCAATACTCTGGGTTGGTTCATGTGTAACAAGACACCGCTGTTGGTGAATTTCTCCATGCAGCGGCAGCAACCATGTTTAATATTCAAGCTATGGAAGGGGCACACCATAGCTTGCTGATACATGCAAACTCCCAAAGGTGGGCTTGCTACCTCTTGCTTCCAGAGGAGGCAGAGGCAATAGCAGTGCTCAGAATATGGGCAAGAAGCAGAGATGTGAGTGGGAGTTTGACTACTATCTGGGTTGGAAAGAAAAAGGGAAAACATCTACAGAAGGGTTCAGATTCATTCATGGAGGCAGAGGACTTAGCTCCTCTGGGCATGTAAACAGTTAAACCATTTATAAGTTTAGCCAGCACCTGAGTGTTTTTTTCTGTTTTCATCTGTAAAACTAAATCTGTTCTGGCTGGAGCTGGGGGTCAGACTAGATGGCCTGAGAGACCCCTTCTGATTCGCTCTGTTTCTATGTTTTTGTATTATTCTTAACCTCTTATGTGTGAGTGAACACACAACTTAGCGAGCAATCCAAGGATAGAAACAAGAGGGTGGCAGTGAGGAAGACAACAAAATTCAGGGCATTGCCCTGCTTGCCACAAGTGCCTCTCCCACCATGGCCCACATTTTCAGAATGGCAGCCGCCACCACACGAGACGCTCTGGGGAAAACTCAGTCAGTGGCTTCTCATCGCACCGCCTGCCTGTTATGCCATCTTGTTGCATCGTTTGTTAGGACAGACTCCAGTATATTGTCAGTTGCAACAAGTTTCTTGGGATACTCTCAGATAAGGCATTTGCTGTGCAATTGTGACACATCACGGCATTTTCTGGGGCTCCAGTTAACACAGTCTTTCCTTGGTAGCCCGTTTGTGTTTTCCCACTAGAGTTTCTACGCTTTTTGTTACCAGGAAAAAAAACCTGCTAAGAAAAACAAAAACAGAATAGCTAAACAATTCTGTTTGTTACCACTAGGAGCCATCCATGTGGAAGCACCTTGTTCTTGTGCACTGACCCAGAGATCTTTTCTACACTACAAGACCATGCATGACACAACTGGCCTTGTGTTCTATGGTGTGAGCAGGTGGATGCGAGGGCACACGCCTCCACTGGGCCTGTGCTTCAGTTTCAAAGCAGCACCTAAAATGTCAGCTCAGGATCTATTCACAAGTGTGGCCAGGGATAATTTCTGATGAAGGTACAGAACTGCCCTGGAAACCCTGTTCCACCCACCCTGCCCAAAGCTCAGGTATGCGCTGCATTTTTCTATTTATTCGACGAGGAAGAGCAGTCACTTGGCACACACTAAAAGGCTGTTCACATTTCACTCTGTATTTTCTAGATGAGCTCTGAGTAACTGAGTACCCCTGAGTATGCCTAGTTCGAATGAAGACTGGACAGTATTTTCTTCTTCAAGTCTCCCAGTTGTTGCATGCAAATCAAATGAATAAATTCTAGGGGGAATCTCTGCTTTGCGTGGCCAAATAAACCAGAATCGACTGCAGTGGCAGAGATGGGCCCAATACAGGCTGAACAGGAAAAGAGCTAGACAGGGATTGTCTCCCCCAGCCCCATTTTCTTTTTCACAGCTGTACAGAGCAGATTGCACCATTTGTTAGCCCTGTCGTCACGCCGTGTCCCCCGGGGCTACAGCATTAAGGCAAAGCATGACTATGCTTTTAAAAGAGTGATCCACAACTGTGTCAGGGAGCAGAACGCAGGAGATGACAGCTGGGCAGTAGAGGAAGTAGGAGAGGGAGGGGAGCGACTTCAAAAGGCTCCCACTGTTGCTAACGGATTAGAAGCATATGGAAGGTTCCAAGTTGGGGCCTGAACCAGCTCACCTTTCTATTTACTCCTGTGGGCTTTTGTTCAGCTACCTAAGCGTCAGACAACTACCTATAGTCAGAGATAAAGATCTAACATTCAGGAGTAGAAAGGTAACAGATGGCATAGCAACAGCCATGGAGAATACAGAGAGAGGGAGAGTAAATTAGCAAGAACAAAGCCATTTGTTTGGGAGAGGTGCCTACGCATTTTGCTGTCCCTACACCAGCCAAACAGAATGAGCTTCCCAGTTGCTGCTAAGTGCAATTGGGAAGGCATTAGGAGTTGCTCCTGTTACTTGAGGATATGGCCTGAATGCAGAATGTGAAAGCCATGGTGAATGTCCTTTTGCAAGCCTTCCAAACAAGTTGAAATAAATTTTCTATGTGCACAAGTGCGGGCCCTTTCGCGGAGGCTTAGCTGTTTAACACGTCCCATGCATGGAAAAGATGGTCCTGAGTTTAATTCCTAGGACTGTGAGACAGGGCTGAGAAAAACTTGTCAAAACCTTGGCTAGTCATTGCAGCCAACAGTCATCCAGTTGGACAAATAGATTGACTTTGTTAAGGCAGCTTCTTCTGTTCCTGCGTGTGAATATTAAGGCAGTGACTGATAGTCTAACACTGCTATGTATATGGCCAGTACAAAGTCAGAGCAGGGGGACTGTAATCACTTTATAAAAATGCATGCTTGTAATCTTTTATATACAGAAAAGTTGTGCATGGAGCATAGTGGCATGAAGTAGGGCTGTGAAGCCTTTCCCCAGCTGTTTTCCCCCACCAAGCTACACCCTAATTTAGCATGGAGGAAAGGTTAACCCCATCTGCCTCTGCTTTCAAATAAATCTCTGTGATAAAGTTAATACTTTATAGTTGTTACAAAAATATTGAATGACTTATATAATCAATATCCCATTCCTACACTTGATTGGAAATAAGCCCTATTGGACTCCAGGTAAGAGGGCAAAAACCTTTCGTCTACATGTAAGTCAGCTCAAATACGGTCTTCCTGAAT